TTACGGCACATATAATGCGCACTTCTTCCTCGGGATTAGCTTGAATTGCAATGGTTCGACAACGCCATAAGCATGCAGCCAATAGCTCAAACGTCGAACACTTACAAAGGTGTTGTGGTACAAGTTTGCGAAGCGCTGAGACTTCTGTGGGGCCAAAGAAAAATATCGACCGGTCAAATCAAAGTTGGGGAACATGGTTCCCACTACTTCGTCAGATTGGAGATGTTTACATGTGATTCTCGGTGGATCTCTAGCTGATAAGAGATGCCTTTCCCATACAGGTGGTATTGATGGGGCAAGCCAACCGCGAGCCATTTCTCCTACTGTAGACATGTACAGGGTTAGACCAATAGCATCGCTCATAATGTGGTTGAGGCGAAGGGCAAAGATAAAACCACCGCATCTCAACCGTGTTACCTGAATAAGTAACAATGGACAATTTATAAATCCAGAAGAGCCCGGAACATCATAAAGCACTTCCTCCAAACAAGGGAACGGTGGTTGAAGTGTATCGCCGAATTGCTCGAGCGTGACATCCGCATCCGCTTCGATAAACAGCAGGCCTTCACCAGTGCAATCAACCATCAGTTTGTGGTGAGGTCCTTCTCTTAACCTACCGGTAAATGGGTAATAAAACACTAAGGCTTGTGCAAGTGCTTCCCGAATCACTTTAACAGGGTGGATTATATTGATAAAATCCGATGACTGAAGTTTGAATACGAAAACATTTTTGGTCATCGATATCGGATAATGATATGTACTCATGAGGGGTAGGATTGGTCGGAGCTATAAGTTCAGGTTTACGACGATGAACATTCAACATTAAAGGAGTGCACGAAGCCATAAAACCAAAAAGGAAGGAAGAGATGGGAATACAGTAGTTTTGGTTGTTAAGCCAAATAATCGAGTCTTATGAGAGTTGTATTTATGAGAAGAACTGATGGATATTTTATAACTAATGGTAGTTGTCATTTTTATTAAATAAAGAAGAAATAATTAAAATTACAAAATTATTAGAATATAAAAATAAGAGTAAACTAATTTTATAAGTCAGTATTTCTTTAAAATTATTGAAATGTACAAGTTGACTACTTAAGAATAAAAAAATATCCCGATAGATACAAACAAACGTTATATTCTAGAATAAAAGATAAATATCATTAACATTAGCATGAAAATGTATATAACGATAATGGTTCATTGATAGATTAACATTGTCACAACTCAAGTGTGATCTATCTTCAATAATTACAGGTATCAATGAAAATTCAGTTCCAAAAGTCAAAGTAGAAATAAATTAGTAGGATAACAAAATAAATAGATATATAGAGATAATATCAAATCAAATTGTAAAAAACATAAAGAAATAAAATACGTTCTACTATAATAGACAAAATCATCAACATTTTAATAAAAAATTGAAATATTAATTAAAAATAACATAACTCACATGATTAGATTATTAACAAATTTGTTTTATTGAATATGTTATTGGAAGAGAGAGCGAAAAAATATATCTTAATAGCATAAAACGAGGGTTGACTTCTATGTACAGAACAAGTAGATTATAAGATTATTATAATAGTATTTTATGTGCCCAATAATTGAGCTCTATTTTCTTCTTAAATCATTATTTTTTATTGATTTAAGGTACTTATACAAGTGGTAGTATTTATTTTTAAAAATTTCTAATCATTTAACGATAAATATTCAAATATTTTACAATTAGTAGTGCTCAAACCTGAGACCTTAAAGAATAACAATCAGTTATTTTACCATTAAAGTTGTTTGGTTCATCCACATTAAATCTTAATTATATTTTAATGAAATGTTAGAATTTCATTAAAATAATAGAAGAAATAGTAACAGTCGGTCATGAATAGGGCTGTAAATGAGACGAGATAGATCGCGAGCTACTCGAGATCAACTCGATCAAGGCTCGATAAATACTCGAATCGAATGGACTCGACTCGAGTTCTTAACGAGCCTAAACGAGCTACTCGATATTCGACTCGAAAAGCTCGTGAGCAGCTCGAAAAAATGTTATATTATAATTTTAGATTTTTTAAAATTACATTATTAAAAATATATTAAAAATACATTATTGATAATTATAAAAATTTAAAAATATATTAAAAATTCTATAATACAACTACTCTCAAATTTTAATTAATGTCCTTGTAAGGAACCTTAAATCCTAAACCGTAAATCCTAAATCATAAACCATAAATCCTAAACCTTAAACCATAAACCCTAAATTACACTTACCTCATAAATCCGTACCAAGTCAATTAATTAATGTCTTTATAATAAACTCTAAACCCTAAACCCTAAACCCTAAACTATAAACCTTAAAACCTAAAACCTAAATCCGATTATGTGATAGAGGTTAAATTATGCACATGAAGGTAACATATAAATTATGCAAAATGATGTTATGTGACTCCTAAATAAATCAATCGCATACTTATACATAAACATATCAACATGCAAAATAAATATACACAACTAATTAAAGAAAACAATCCTAAACAAGGACTAAATTAAGAGAAATCTAAATGTGATGACTAATTTAAGCTAAATATACTAACTTTAGAATGATGATTAAATTCACGTAAATATAAAATTAAACTTAAAAAATTAGAATTAAACCGATGACTTAAATACAAAATGCGCAGACAATCCATTGGCTCCGGATTGGTATATCATTTAGTGTCGTTGAGAAGTACAGTGCCGTTGAGGGCTAGGACTGTGTGGTTGATATCTTGCCATTGCCGTGTCTCTTTTGATTCAGATATTGATTTTTTGGTCTGTAAAATTGCAAGTTGAGCACTTGTTTTGTGTGACATCTTTGGCCCAAAACTATACGTTAAGGCACCATTTTGATGAACCAGAATCCAACCATAAAAGTATACAAGATTCATGAACAATGGTTCAATGTATTTGTGCGATTCGCCTATGATACATCAAATACGAACTTTTTATTCTATACAAATGATAATAAATAGAAAACAATAGTATGGATGATAACCTTACAATTTATTGGTTTTTAGAACTGAAATGAACCTTCTCTCATAAGCAATTACAAATGGTGCACTACTTACTACAATTTATATTATATGTAAAAGTGTACATAAAAACACAATAACAAAAGATAATTATTCAACTATATATTTGTCTCTCAAAATCAATTCTTCATCTACTACTTCTCCTTCGAAATACCTGCTTAGGATCCATCACCTTGCTGCCTGAATTGGCTTCCCCTCCCTTTTCTTTCCCTTTCTCAGACTCTCCTCTCACCATTTTGGCCTCCAACCTCTTCTGCATATCTCTTTCACTTGTTTCAGGTACCCTGCTCCTTATCCCCTCATGTTGCAGCTTATTGTTGCACTCTTGTTTTGCTTCAGCTTCGGCTTCTGATGGTGCCTGTCTCACTCTGGTTGTTAACTCTGGTTTATGAGTCGTGGCCCTGGAACCACTCTCTTGTTCAAAAAACAAGACTTGGACCACCGTTCTTAATGGTAGCGATCCTGCAAAGAAGGATAAGGATAAATTTAGTCTCGTGAGGAGAAAATCAGTGTTGATTATACAGGAGAAGCCGGAGATGGAGATGGGGACCGGAGTTGAAGGTGGGATGTGAATTTGGACAACCCCATTGTTGTTGCTGAGCTGTTTGAAAGTAGTTCATATCCCACATCGGTGGTTTTTGGAAGAGTGTATAAAAGGGGATGGGTTTCAACAATTAAAATTTAACCCGTCTTCGAGCTTCAACCGAGCTTAAATCGAGCTCAAAATCGAGTTTTAATCGAGTTTGAGTCTCGAGTTTCGGTCGAGCTTTTGAATTTTTTTTGAGTTTGAGCCTTTTCGAGTTCGAGTCGAGTTTCAATATCTTTTTTCGAATTCGAGTCGAGCTTGAAAATTTTAGGCTCGTGAGTTTTTGAGTCGAGTCGAGCTTGCATTTAAAATTTTCAAATTCGAGTCGAACTCGACAATACTCGAGCTCGACTTGGCTCGTTAACACCCCTTGTCATGAACACAAACAGACGGACAAAGATCACTATTCAAAGACTATATCCCAGAAATGTTCTGTTGTAGGTCATTAAAAAATATAAATACAATAAACTAAAAACACAGAGTCCACTAGCCAGTATTTCTCTGATATCAAAGATTAGTTGTGGACTGAGTTATTATCGAGCCCTATTGTTCGTCCATATCTCAAACTTTCTCGTCATCAATAGCCAAGATTATTCTCATATATGACAATGTTAGATATAATACTAATATAATATGAAAAATAGGCAAAATAATATAAGCATTAATACATGAATTATTAAATTTGGGCTTATTGGTCTCCGAACCTCAAAGATAGAGGTACCACTGATACATGAATTATTAAATTTGGGCTTATTGGGCCTAACAATCTAACTGCTCCATCAATTAACTCTTAACAGATTAACCTAATCTGTGAGATTGTTAGGGGGAGCCTACCACGTGTCATTTGGACGTTAACTGGACATTTGCTCATGCTGTGATTCATTCAGGTGTAGAGGCAGAGCCACTATAAAACTATTACATCTCAAGTTTTCAACTGTGTTTCCTGTTAATTAATAATATTATTTTATTTAATTTTTTTCTTCTAATTTTAGTTTCAAATTTATAATAATCCTTCCATGTTATTAAAAAAATATTTTAAAATTCATATAAATATTTTTTTACTAAAAATATTCTCAATCAATCAAATGGGTGGGCCGCTTCTCATTTCACGACACTACTTTTTTTGTTTTATTGATACCGACACTAAAAATTATTAGTTGTTTTTGTGTGTTTCAAATTGTTTTGTACTCTTTTTCCTTTAATGCTTTTGAGGTATAGATATTTTCCTTAATTGCAGTCTTGGCCGACATTTTTAAAATAACTGGAAAATAAACTTGAAAAACAAAATTAATTATAATTATATCACACTTGTAATTGTATTGAAAAACACTTACGATCAAATAATATAATTAAAAATAATCACTTGAATAAGTAATCATGGATAATTTAACACTCGAAATGAATCCGAAACATCATACAGAAGTTGAAACAAGAAAATGATGATCGCCGGTTCAATCAACCATCAGTTTATGCTAATGTCTTTCCCTTAACCTACCGGCAGATGAGTAATAAAATGCCATTTATTTTACAAAGATTAACTCACTGGCTTTTCCTTTAACATACCCTCTAGTTCTTTCACAAATATTTTCATTGCTTGAGCGGGCAATCTAATTGGCACCACAATTCCTTCCACTCCTTTCTTGTTTTTGAATGGTATTAAAAAACTAGCAACTACACCGAGAGCCGGACCACCGTACACTGCCTTACCCCACCCGTAATCGATGTCTCTTAACCTGAAACGCGTCGCGTCTGAGACCAGATAAGATTTAGCAAGGCTAAACTTTGGCCGACCCTTAATCACCATTAAATCTGCAACCGATTTCATGTATTCTTCCGTGACAGCATTTTTTGCTTGTTTCACAAGCTCTATTGAATACACTAATGGATTTTGGCAAACTTTCCCTGATTGCGCCACCTCTACTGGGTACGCGATTGCATTCCCGTAATAACCTAAAGGTAACGGAGGATTAAACCTGGAACGTGCATTTACAATGCACATAACACGTACCTCTTCCTCGGGATCCGCCTGAATTGCAATTGTACGACAACGCCATAAGCAAGCAGTTAATAGCTCAAACGTCGAAGACTTATGAAGGTGTTGTGGCACAAGTTTACGAAGTGTTGAGACTTCCATGGGGCCGAAGAAGAAGGACCGGTGAACGATGTCATCGTTGGGGATAAGGGCTTCCTCGACTTCATCATACTCGCGATGTTTACATGTGACTCTTGGTGGATCTCTAGCCATTAAGAGATATCTTTCCCATACAGGTGGGATCGATGGGGTAGGCCGACCTCGAGCTATTTCTTCTACGGCAGACAGGAATTGGGTTATGCCAGAACCGTCAGTCATAGTGTACTTGAGGCGGAGAGCAAAGATAAAACCATTACATTTCAGCCGTGTTACCTATTAATCAAAACAATATTAACTATTTATACATGTATTCGAAACACACTTAGAATTCAGGGAAATAAAAAATAAATACCTGAATAAGCAATAATGGACAATTCAACATTCCAGAAGAACCCGGAACATCATAAAGGAGTTCCTCCAAGCAAGGGAAGGGTGGTTGAAGTGCATCACCAAATTGCTTGAGTGTAACATCCGCATCCGCTTCGATAAACATGAGACCTTCACCGGTACAATCGACTATCAGCTTGCGGTGAGGTCCTTCCCTTAACCTACCAGCAAATGGGTAATAAAACACTAAGGTTTGTGCAAGTGCCTCCTTAAGCACTCTAACAGGGTCTTTTCCATACATGGAAGGACTGTGTTGATAAAATTGGATAATTGGAAGTTGGACACGAAGGCCCTCTTGATCATCGATGTCGGATAATAGTTTGTATTCTTTAGGGGTAGGCTTAGCGGGAGCTATCAGTTCTGGTTCACGCCGGTGAACCTTGAAATCTAAGGGAGGGGAGGAAGTTGCCATGGTACCAAAAAGGATGGGAATAGAGTATGAATGTTTTGGTTAGCCCGTGATCATCGATGTCAGATAATAGTTCGTGTTAAATATGGCTTGTGTTCAGCAAGGAGAGAACGATGAAGACAAAGGAGCTTTAGTTAAGAGTTATCAAAAAGGACTGGGCGGATGAATATGGTGATGGGCCTGGGAATGGCAAAGTGAAGCAGGCTAAAGAGCTGTCCATCAGAACCAAGGCTGAAGCATTTTAGCAAGGCAATGGATAATTTGTTAGAATTTGGCTAAAAAAATGTTAGAATTCACAGCTGGCAGTAACCAATTTAGTACATTGTATAGAATAAAAGAGAAATTTGAATGAAAATTCTGAATTTCTTTCATCCTTTCTTCTAATTCCAAGTCCATTTCTATCCCAACATAACAATTGTTCACTTTACAAGAATCATGACAAAACGAGATAAATGTGGAAAAATGATAGGTGGTGCACAATAATTTTATTCATTTTAACTGCCACACAAACGTATATATTCAACCCAAACATAATACAACCCAATTTCTTTAACAGCAAAATGGAACTATTTTTTTAATCTAAAGCTTAATCTTTTAAGTAATTTATTTTAAAAATCCCATGCCACAAACTAGTTAGAATCACCGGTTTAAGCAGAAGTTGCTTTACCGGCATCTGTCAACATTCGATTAATCTCCTTAGCAAAGCTCTCCATAACAGGTGCAGGCAAGCAAACCGGGACTGCAATCCCTTCCTTCCCCTCCTTATTCTTCCATATGTAAAAGCTTATAATCTCTCGACCATTAACCGGTCCACCAAACTCTGCCTTGCCCCTCCCAAAATCAACCTCCCTAAGCCTGACTCGAGTCAGATCCGACACGATCAAAGATCGAACCGTATTAACATTTGGTCGTCCTCTAGTCACTAGCAAATCAGCCGTCAATTTCATGTACTCATCGGTAACCTTTGCCTTGGCCTTCTTCACTAGCTTCACTGCAAATTCTAATGGATTTTGGCTAAGTTCCCTTGCAGTTGTTTGAGCCGCGGGGTACCCGAGTACATTCCCGTAATACCCTAATGGCAAAGGAGGGTTGAATTTGGACCTTGCATTGACAATGCAGATGAACCGAACGTCTTCGTCGGGACCGAGTTCCAAGGCTATCGTACGACAGCGCCATATGCATGCGGTTAAGACATCGAATGTTGAACAACAGAGGTTGTCGGAGATGTCTCTTAAGAGCTGAAAGTTGAGTTGGCCCAAAGAAGAAAGAGCGGTGAACCAAGTTGTCTGTCGACATGATTGTACCGATGGCGACCGTCGAATGGTCGTACTCGTGGTGCTCGCATGTTATGACCGGTGGGTTTCGAGCATTCAAGAGTTGTCTTTCCCAAACGGGTGGGATTGAGGGAGCCACTGAACCTCGTGCTATTTCGCCCATGGCAGACATGATTTGGATCAACCCAACAGCGTCACTCAGTGTGATTGAACCGGTGGGCAAAGATAAAACCACCACATTTAGAACGTGTCACCTATTAAAATTTTAGTATTATATTACTTAGTTACATGCTTCTAGTGTAAAATTAATACGTAATATCAAATGATACCTGAATTTGTAGCACCGGACAGTTTAATAGATCATTGGAGCCAGGAGGCTTACTAAGAAGCTCATCGAGACAAGGAAATGGAGGGTGAAGTGAATCACCAAAATCCTCAAGTGTAACATCAGCATCAGCCTCGACAAACAGCACACCTTCCCCGGTACAATCCACCTTAAGCTTCCGGTTAGGCCCTTCCTTTAGTCTACCAGCAAACGGATAATAGAACACTAAAGCTTTCACAAGTGCTTTTATCCTTTCCTTGCATGCTGGCGTTGCACCCATAAATATGGAGCCCTCGGATTTGGAAACGATGACCGTCGTCGATGTCCGAAAGCATCTTACATTCGTGAGGGGTTGGTTTTGTCGGGACGACAAGCTCCGGCTCCTGCCTTCGTACAGTGAACACTAGAGAAACGGGTTGTAGCAATGCCATGGCTAGAACTTCTTATTAACACAACCGGGAAGTCTTATTTTCTTCTTTTTGTAAATTCTTCAACCGTATTATTCAGATGTTCTCATATTTATAGCTGAAAAAAGTACCTTTTTTGAAGGTCTCAGTAACTTATGGTGAACTGCTGACATCAATGCAAGAATGTGGTTTCATTTATATTCCGACAGCATCATGCCACCACGTTTGTTGTACTTTTCGTGAATAAAAATTTCCAAAATTCTGTTACGATAGCTACGTGGTTTCTTCGATTTAAACGCATTAATTTTTACTTTTCCAAGTTAGCGAGTTTAGTAGTCACATTTTAAATTTCTTATTTTAGTAATTTTTTTAAAATAGTATGAGATATTTTAATATCCTATCTGTTTAAAATTTTTCTTTTTTATTGACAACATACATCTTATCGACGTAACTGCTTTAATCCAAATCCGCTAGAAAGAATAAAATTCTCTTTTATCATTGAAACCACTCAATAAATTCTTATTTTATTAATTTAACATCTTTCAATATGGGTGAAAAAATAAAATGATTATGAATTATAGGTGTAATACCTAATTTTCGTCCGGCTTACCATTTACAATAACCAAACATTTTTATTGAAGTATATTTTGAATTATGATACATCAACTGACTTGCAACAAATTTTCAAACAGGATTTAGGCGTTTTCAAGGCATGATGCTTCTTGAAACATAATAGTCTTTCAGTTGCACTTCCAATGCATTTTGAAACATCTCAATTAAAAATTGAGAACTCAAGATATGTTTATTTAACGAAGACATCGCGTGCAAAAAGCTGAATACATATCCAATACGGGAATTTTAATTTAGTAAGATTTTTCAATCATTTTATTGATCATTTCTAATTAAATTCAATTTTAAATTTTATTTATTTATTTAGGATAATTTAATTTATTTTTATTTTTTATTTTTTATTCTAATTAGTATATCTACCATTAATAAAAAAAGATATCATAATTTTCTTTTAAGGGTTTTTTTAGAAGCCTACAAATAAACATTCATCTTATGTAAAGAGGAGAAAAAAAAGAGGGGGAGGGAAGAGAATTGAAAATCACCCAAGAGCATTATAATTTGAAAATAAGAGCAATAAAAGAGAATCTTGGTTTAAAAGTGATTCTTTCTTTTTATATATATATCAGAAGGAAGTCAATGACGATGGACACTTTTCTTGAAAAGATCTTTCAATCTAATCCATTCTAGTTCCTCTGAGGAAAATTATAAGTGGGTTTGGTATTTAATTAAATGACTCGAGGACTCTATCCAGATTTCTTAAGAAATCTACGCTTTTTTTAATGGATAGGGATTAATTATTTTCGGTAGCCCTCAAAGATTATTTGAAATTTCATTTCAATCCTTGTTCTCTTAATTTAACTTTAAATTCTTCTAAATCAAACCCTTAATATTATTCTTTTCCATTTAACCCTTTCATTTCCCTTTTATTTTCGCTTTAATCCCCGTTTGCTTTCTTAATTTAAGTCGTTAGTTTTTTTTTCTTTCATTTTTTACCTTTTACTTCGTTTCTGCAATTTCATTTTCTTTTTTTTATACATTTAAGGTAAACATAAGGCAATATTTGGTCAAAGTCTCTCAACCAATTGACAATGAACACTCATACTCCTACCGTTTCATTTCTTTTAAATTAATTTGTTTCTATTCTGGTTTATTTATTCCATATTTGTTATGATTTATTGATTTTTCATTCCAATTTGGTTTGCATTCCTTATCTTACGTTTTTAATTTTGTTTCCATTTTATTTTGAATTTATTTTTCTTATTTTTTTAAAAGTATTTGTGTGAATGATTATTTTCCATATTTATTTTGTGTCATTTAAATATAATATATTCATATTTCTAGCATTAATTTCATTTTTTTATTTCTTTATTTTATTACCTGTAATTTTTTTCCACTTTTGGTAGATTATACCCCAATCATTCATTTTTTTTAAAATTTTTTTGTTGCATTCTACAACTCTAATCTAATTTATTTTATAGAAAAGAAAACTCACACGTAAATAATTTTTATTTTATAGAAAAGAAAACTCACACGTAAATAATTTAGATTTTTTTTAAATAAAACTCGGCTCAAACTTTAATTTTCTCTATTAAGATAACTTATAATCGTGTTGGCACTTAAAGGGCGATGTGGGGGTGCTCATCATTTCCTACACATAAACAACTCTCGAACTTTTACAAGTGAATCTCTGATAAGACATCTGATAAAAGGTAAATTTTAGGTATCCGACCTTACCTAACCCAAAAGGTTGGTGACTACTCCAAAAGGTAGAATTATTCACTTTAAGTCAATATTAGATCACGGGTCACTTGAAGGATCGTTCCGACAATAGATAATCGTGGTTATTTTTACTTGAATTTGAAAATTTTCTACTCAATTTATAAGATCGATTTTTTTAAAACAAATATATATTCAAGTTGGATTCAAATTTATGGTGAAAAGTCTTTGATATGCGATAATAGTATAATTGTCGTCTATATATTTAAGAATAATTATTATAACATCTCTTTATTTTTTTTCAATTATGTCTCTATTTTTTCGAATACAAATATTTGTTTATATTTAGGTCAAGTAAGATTACCCCTCTTCCTAAACCCAAATCAGATCAGATATTAAATGAGTATAATATTTATATCAGATTCAAATTGAACAAAATTTCAACCTAAACTAACCCATGACCATCCCTAATTATAGGGCGAAGGACTTGATAATCTCCCATAAAAAGAGCTTAATCAAATAAAACTAAAAATAATAACTATATTGATGACAAAAATCACATTTAAATTTAAATATTTTTCAAATTACTTACACGTATTTATGAAAATATTTTAATAATATAAATTATAAAGTATTATAAAATATATTGTCATAATGTTAAAATTACTCTCAACGTTTATTAAAATAATTATTTTATTTTTTTGGAGCATTTTGCTCCCTAACGTTTCATTTCGGGTCAAAAAGGTCCCTCAGTAGATAGAAATCATCTGTTAATAAATGATTAACGCTTCAAAACAAGGACATTTT